TCGCCGCCTCGTCGCCCCCCCGACGTCCGGGCCCGTCCGTCGGTCGCCGAAAATGTTGCCGCCGTCGCCCCCCCGTCGCCGCCTCGTCGCCGCCCCGTCGTCCGGGCCCGCCCGTCGGTCGCCGAAAATGTTGCCGCCGTCGCCCCCCCGTCGCCGCCTCGTCGCCGCCCCGACGTCCGGGCCCGTCCGTCGGTCGCCGAAAATGTTGCCGCCGTCAGAGCCCTGTCGTCGCCGCTTCGTCGCCGCCCCTGTCGTCCGGGCCCGTCCGTCGGTCGCCGCGCACGTGGACGCCACCGCCGTGGCCCCGTCGCCGCCCCACGCAGGACGGCACAACGCACACCCTGCGAAATGCCTTAGAAATCTTGGGTTGAGAAATTCATAGTCTCAGAATTTGAATAAAAACCCAACATGTCTTTTAAAATCTTAAGATTTACACTGAAACGTTAAGAATAATCGAGACTCTGGCCGAAAACTTGGGTTTTCTTAAGCATCGCCTAAGGTGTACACTGCACAACGAGATCCTCCTCTCTGCAGTCGGGGGCGGTCAAAAGGGGGGTGTCCAAGAGGAGGGGTGCAAATCATGATCGCCGGCACGTGCGCGGCCCAGCGGGGGGGTCGGGGACGTGGTGAAACAAGGAGAGGCGCCATGAAACCTGGGGAACTATCATGGCCCCGCCATGATATCCCCCCCCCTAGTCATCCCCCCCCCTTTTGCCGCCCTCGATGCAAGAATCTGGAAATCCCCCCCATTTCCGCATTGAGAGTTCCATATGATGTTTGCCCGATGGTCAATCCGAAATATGTACCATACCATCCCAAACCAACCAGAATTCGCCCCCCCCCCCCGCACCCTGTGCACAACAACTCTGCGCGCGCACTCGTATATAAAAAATCACAAAGTGCCAATCATTCCTTACAAACGACGTAACAAAATGCACACGAGCGCGTCGTCGCGCGCGCATACCGTAATGTTTCAAAACCTGGCACCTCGAACGGATTTCAAAATCGAGAGTCACGACGACATATCAAAACACAGGTCTTTGCAACATCAATTGTCACACGTGCCTTCGCGCGCGCTCTTGCGAATTCTGAGGGGAACCATCCGTTTCTGTCAACGTCAACAGCATTCTCATAACAGACTACCAGGCGGGCCTCTCGCGCGCGCATGTCGACTTCGTTCGATCGCCCTTGCGCGCGTGTTGCCGCAAAGCTCCCTGGCACAAAACGAAACGCAGTGCACGCGCGCGCGTCGGCGCGCGCGCCTGCCCAAATACTTCAAAACCCGTAGGTTTCGTGAGAATGTCAAAAACGAGTGTCCCACAAACATATAAAAAACATGGTTTTGTAACGTCGGTGTTCAACATGATCCTGCGCTCGCGGTCTTGCGGAGTCTTAAGAGAACCATGTGCTTTCCAACATGTTCATCACATTCTGCCAAGCGGGCCTATCGCGCCGAATGTCGAACTCACTCAAACGCTTGCGCGCGTGCTGGGGGGGGGGGTCACGATCCGTGTCAAAGTATACCACGCGTGTCACTCGCGCGCGTCGGCCGCGCGCGCATGTCGAACTCCTTCAAAAACTTTCATCGCCGACGCGTGGACATCGTCAGAATTATCGGCGGGCGCGATCAACATCAGCTCCGCCATCGGCCTTGCCGCTGTCATCGCCACCATCGTCACCATCATCGCTACACTCAGAATCGTGTCTACCGCTGTCGGCGAAGCAACAGTCAGGTTGATTCGTGGCGTTGAGGTCCCGAGAATGGTGTTGTGGCTCACCTCCCTCAGTGGAAATGGCTCCTGGTAGGGGCCCCTGGAGACGGAGCTGAGAGGGAGGATTAATTCCAAAATCGTTGATGAGTCTTGTGTTTTCACTCCTCCTCCTCCTCCTCCTCCTCCTCTTTTCGCACCGCCGTGCCCGCGGCGCCACCGCCACGCCGCAGGGCCCCGTCGGCGCGAGTCCCCTCCTCAGACGCCGCTCGGGTACATCATGACGCGCACAGGGGCGCCGAAGGCGCGGGAAGGGATCGCCTGAGCGCAGAGGGCCAGACAAAAGCGGCACCACCACCAGCGCGACGAGCAAGAGGGGGTCCTCTCGGTATGGTTCCCCTGCCCGTGCGAGACATCCCCTGTCCCCAGCTCGGGGAGACATCGTGGACCTCCTCGCCGGAGATGGCACCCCTGGTGATGGTGGTCCAGCTCTTCAGTCCTCCGATGTGCGGCGCGAGGGGCAAGATCAATCGGCGCATCGAATCGGGAAAGCGGACAAAATCGGACAGCGCATCGAATCGGACTGCATCGGCACGGAATCGAATTCGAATCGAATCGACCGCGCAAAGATGCACAAGAACTCCGCATCGGGTGGACAACAGATCGAGGTCCGAGCCAGCCGAATCCTACACCGAATCATGGAGAGAGGAACCCAAGAGGGGGTCGAAGAGAGTTTGGAGTCCCGAAACGGTGCGGCGACAGACCGTGAGGTGACCTCGAAGTCCCCCAAGACCTCACCGCACGGTCCGTCAACGCAAGGTTTTGGGACCCCGGAGGCCCCTGTCGCCCGAGACGTCCTCGGAGAACGACCCGAGTCCCAGCACCGTGCGGTGACCCCGAATGCCCACCGACTCACCGCACGGTGTGGTCACCACCCCGTTTGGGGGCCCCCGAGAAGAGAGGAGGGGGGGCACAGAGCCGAGGGACCGGGAGCGACAGCGTCCGACGGTCGCCTTCGCTTCCGGGCCACACCGAGCACACCCTCCCCCCCGACCCCCCCGTCAGCCTGGGCGGCCGCCTGGCACGGGTCCCCGACGCAGGGGGCTCCCCCCCCCGCGCGTGGCCCCCCCCCGCAGTGTGGTCCCCCGGGATGGCGGCCAGGACAGCCCGCAGCCGGGCGGGTGCGCTGCCAGCGGTGGCCCTGGCCCGGGGTGGCCCCCACGAACGATCGTCTCCGAGCACACACACCGCCACCTCCCCCCCGACCCCCTGTCAGCCTGGGCGGCCGCTTCCGGGGGCGCGCCAGCGTGGAGCAACGATCCACGGATGCGGCGCGCGGTCGCCAAATCCATGCATCGGGGAAGGTGCCCTCCCCAAAATGCGGCCGGCGCCGCTCTGCTCGGCGGCGGAAGCCCGCGACGGCCAGCGGTGGCCCTGGCCCAGGGTGGCCCCCACCAGCTCTCGTGGGACGTCCCCCGACCACATCGCTGCCTCAAGGCTCAGGTCGGGCATGTCCCCCTACGGGCGGATTGTGAACGAAAGACACAGGAATGGTCCAAACATGCCCCAGCAAAAATTCAGAAACACGAGCAAAATCGTCCCCGCACCATGTCCTGACTGCCCTTGAATGTTCCTCCTGTGGAGGGACAGGCTTGACTTACCTCCAGGCAGGCCGATCCTGAGCCCTGGGATCCGTGCCCGCGCCTCCCTGGCCACGCCGGGAGGGCCTTCATGGTACGCCAATCCCGGGCCCGGGACGGGCCCGGCCAGAGGATGCGTGAGGTGGTCGCTCGGGAAAGCCCAGCTGGCCTCCAGAGCACCCCCTCACGGGTCCAAGAGGGCACCAGGGGCTCCAGGGCTGCAGAAAAAAGCAAGGGGAGGGCCCGGGCCCCGGACGGGCCCGGCCAGGATCCGTGAGGTGGGCACTTGCTGGCCATCGCTCGGACGTCCATTCCCTGTGTTTTTTCGGTTTCGTGCGTGGTTTTTCCGCCCGATGATCAGGGATGCTTCTCGATTGTCCTCGCCGAAGGAATAATGCACACGTCCGAGCGATGCCAAGCTTGAGGTCCCCGGCAGCTCTTCCAGGAAAGCCCACTTGGCCTCCAGAGCACCCTCTCACGGGTCCAAGAGGGCACCAGGGGCTCCATGGTCGCAGAAAAAGCAGGGGGGAGGGCCTGGGCCACGACCACGCCGGGGGCCTGGGCCACGACCACGCCTGGCAACCCCCGCCCCCCGCCTTCTCTCAAGGTCTGGGGTCAAACACCTCGACCCCCACATCTGCCCCCGTCAATGTCGTCCGTGCCGCGTGAAAGAAGCGGGCCCTGAGGGGAACGACTCCCGCATCCCCGGGCCCTAGGCCTCCAGAGTTCCCTCTCGAGCCGCTTTCTCGGGGCCCAGTTCCCTCCGGCCCTGCTTTTTCCGTGGGCGAGCCCGTCCCGCTGGGCGAGGCATTCGTCGTCGCTTCGTCGTCGTCGTCGTCGTCGTCGTCGTCGTCGTCGTCGTCGTCGTCGTCGTCGTCGTCGCGTCGTCGTCGTCGCCGTTTCGCCGTCGGCGTCGTCGTCGTCGTTTCGTCGTCGTCGCCGCCGCCGCCGCCGGGCCGAGCCTCCCCGAGCTCGGCGTGCGGAGCACGCCGCAGCTGCCGCGCGGCCTCGCGAGCCCGCGGGGCGGGGGGGAAGGAGGAGGAGGAGGAGGAGGAGGAGGAGGAGGAGGAGGAGGACGAGGACGAGGAGGAGGAGGAGGAGGAGGGCGGAGGAGGCGGAGGAGGCGGAGGAGGCGGAGGGAGGAGGAGGAGGAGGAGGAGGGGAGGAGGAGGAGGAGGAGGAGGAGGAGGAGGGCGGAGGAGGCGGAGGAGGCGGAGGAGGCGGAGGAGGAGGAGGAGGAGGAGGAGGAGAGGAGAGGAGGAGGAGGAGGAGGAGGAGGAGGAGGAGGAGGAGCAGGAGGAGGAGGAGGAGGAGGAGGAGGGCGGCGGCGGGCGGCGGCGGGCGGCCCGCCGCGCCCCGCCCCGCGTCGCGCCGCGGGGGCCCCGGGCCTCGCCCGACGTGCCTCGGGCTCGCGAGGCCGCCCCTTTTCGGGGGGCTCGCGCCTCGCCCGACGCGCCTCGGGCTCGCGCCCGCCCCTCTTTCAGGGGGGGGAGGAGGAGTGGTGGGGGCGGCGCGGGAGGAGGGCGCGCAGAAGGCGGAGGGGAGGAGGGAGGTCCAGAGATCCGCGGCCCTCCTCGCCCTCCGCCGCCGCCGTCGTCGCCGCCGTGGTCGTCGGCGCCGCCGCCTTCTCTTCGTCGTGGTCGGCGTCGTGGTCCTCGCCCTCCGCCGCGTCCTCCGCGCACATCGCGTCGGCGGTAGATCCTCTCGCTCGGCAGGCCCGAGGCGATAACGATCTTCCGGGCTGTGCCCTCAGCAGACACTCGGGCGGGCCCTTCGGATCGGCACGAAGATGGGGCGACGCCGACCATAAGATTGGGGACAACATGATGCGGGCTGGTAACCCTTCGGCGCTGGACAAACCTCCCTTTAGTAAACCTCCCCTTAGTGGAAACGGCCTGGGACCGAAACCGACGGATCTGGACCCGCAAAAATGACGGCCGCGACGCCTCTCGCGAACCGACAACGGCCAATTCCTGAATCGACGCGTCAGGGTAGGAGGCCTGTCCACCCCCGAACCCTTAAGACCCCCTCGGTGACCGGCGCCCGCGTGCCCGTTCGAGGCGCTGATGCCGGCCTCGCTCAGGAGCAAACGCCCCGCCCGAAGGGCCGGTCCGCTCGGGACACCCTCGAAGTTCATGGCCCCCGTGCTCGGCCGCTTTCCTCTCGAGGCGCTGGGAGACCGGGTCTGCGCCGCGTGATCGGAGGCACCTGGAGCTGAGTCTGCGGCGCGCGCAGTGCATTTCAGCGCTTGCGGTGTTCGGATGTGCATCTAACCCCTGGTGGGATCAGTCGGCGCCGACTCGGGAAACCGAGCCGAATCGGAACGTTCGTCGGATCGAGCCGCACCGACGCGGGGCCGTGGTCGAATCGGATCGGCCGTGCCAGGCAAGCGCCGGGAGGGCAGCGAGGGGAGCCCACGTCTGCGCGTGGCCCCTTCGCCTCCGGCGCCCCCCCCCGGCGGCCCCGGCCGCCCCGCGCTCCCCGCCCCTGCGCCGCTTCTTGCCGGGCGCGCCCCGCCGTCGCTCGACCTCCGCCCCTCCCCTCGCGGATCGGACAACGCCCCGCATGCATCGGGCCGCGTCGGACCGTCGGAAGATCGGAACCAAGCCGGATCGGGCCAGCCGAAGTCGGCATCGAATCGGGTCGATCGGGTCGAAGTGGGCCCTGCTCCTCCTCCTCGCCCTCCCCCTCCTCCTCCTTCTCCTCCTCCCGCGCCAACTCCTCCTCCTCCTCCTCCTCCTCCTCCTCCTCCTCCTCCTCCTCCTCCTCCTCCTCCTCTCCTCCTCCTCCTCCTCCTCCTCCTCCTCCTCCTCCTCCCCCCCCTCCTCGCCCCCCTCCTCCTCCTCCGAGCCCGCTCGACCGTTGGAGACGGGCGGGCAATGGCGTTGCCGACAGGATGGCCGGGCGAGGTGCGGAGCTCTGGCAGGTGCCCGAGGAAGCAGGGGCGTGCGCAGCTGCGTGCAGGCGGCGCGCCAGGCAGCTTCGCCGGTGGTGGGGCGGGCCGCCCAGCAGCCCCCGCCCAGCGGAGGGGGAGGAGGAGAAGGGGGAGGAGGGAGGGGAGGAGGAGGAGGAGGAGGAGGGGGAGGAGGAGGAGGGGGAGGAGGTGGAGGAGGGGGAGGAGGAGGGGGAGGAGGAGGGGAGGAGGAGGAGAAGGAGGAGGAGGAGGAGGAGGAGGAGGAGGGGGGGGGGGGGGAGGAGGAGGAGGAGGAGGAGGAGGACTGTCGTCGGCCACGCCGCGGGGACAAGACGAGGACGCTGGTGAGGGCGACGTGCTCGCGGAGGTCTGCTGCGAGGAGGGCGAGGGCGCCGAGGCCCCCCGTGGCGGCTCCGCTCCTGGGCTTTGGCTCGCTGCTGCCAGGAGGAGCACGGCCTTCCGAAGGGGGGGAAGGACCTCTGGCGCCGAGAGGGCTTGAGCGGAGGAGGAGGGGTGCGAGGGGCAGACGGCTCGCGAGGGAAAGGAGCAACGGTGTGTGTGTGTGTGTGTGGTGATCCAAATCCTAGATCTTGTGCGGCATTCGACCTGGTGCTTTTTTTTTGGGGGGGGGGCAGAGTCGAGGATACCATGGGGGGGGCGTCCATCCACGATACGGGCCCTTTGTATTTCAAGATTTTCATTTGGGGGCGAGAAATCATCTGCGAAGGAGGGTCAGAGGGTTCCATGGTGCATCCTGGTGCGAGAAAGACGAGACGCGAGACAAGCGCCGGAGAATCACCACTTCCTTGGCTGCCGCAGGTCACTCGGCGAAAACGTGGAAAGCGGGATCGGGTTGGGAGCGGGAGACGGAAAAAGGAGCCCGGGATCGGAGAGAGGGGTCTGCGGGATTGGAGGCCTGGAAATTGACACCAACACCAACACAGGGGGTTGCCTCCACAGGGGGAAGATGATCCTCGATTTCGGTGTTCGTGGAAATATTTCGGCCACCTTGGCAGCCAGAATATTACCACCATCACCGAGATCGGGATCTTCTTCCCTCGATGGAAGCACCCCGCCGATATTGGTGCTGTGTCAACCTCTAGCCCTGCGACGGGAGACGGACTGGTGGCTTCTGCGGAGGGGAGGGCATGTGCCACTGACCTGTGCGAGACATCTGCGTCGATGGCTCAGGCTCAGTGCCGATCCGACTCGGCCCACGGCGCTGTGACACATCCAGGTCGCGATTTTTACCTGGAGAGTCGAACTGACACTTCCGCCGTGCCTTTGATGTATTGACACGCGCCCCCGACCCTCGCCAGAGGTCGCATTCCGTGAGAGCCGCAGCGACAGCGAGTCAAAACGATGGCCCAATCTAACTATGAGGCCATCAGATCACGCTATCACAGCGAACCTGCAACGCAGGCAGAATTCAAAGCGAGCGCGCTGCCGTGTGCCAGAAAGAGGCGTGAGGGACCATCGAATCAGACGACCAAGATGGAGGCCGTGGACTTGGCAACCGGAGCGATCCTCATCTGCTTGTTGCCGTAGTCGAAGACGCAATAATACTTCTTCATGAAGACGTCGCCCATGATCCACAGGGGCCCGCGCGGCGCTGGCACATCGATGCCCATCATGGCAAACAAACACGTGCCCCCTGCGTTGAGGACGTAGTCGCTGCCTTCGAGGACGAAGTCCTCCAGGGGCCTCCCGCTACGACCATCAAACCAATTCATGCTTCCCTCCTCCGCGACATCATTCGTACGTCGACGAAGCTCCTGGATTATGGCCTATAGAAGGCCAATCGGGCCACGAGCAGCGCCGTCTGGCAACTACCGCCAAGCTCTGACAGAACGCTTGTCCCTCTGCGGGCCCAAATCGGGGGATGTTCGCACTCTGCATGGGTAACGTATGGGGTGCAACTAATGTTGGGCCATGTTGTCACGAACTCCAATGCTCGTCGTCTACTCAATGCTCGGATAAAACAAATCCCACCTACCCAGCCGCGACTTGTAAGCAACAGTAAGCTGGTATAGTGACGCCGACAGACTCCCCCAAAGGCCCCCAAGAGGCCCAAAGAGGTCCCCCAAAGGCCCCAAAAAAACCCCAAGAGGCCCCCAACGGCCCGAAAGGCCTCCAAACTGCTTCCAAGAGACCCCCGAAAGGCCGTCCACGAGATCACAACCAACATCCAGTAGGCTGCATACCCACAACCCAGGCACAGCGGCGGGATGGACCGAGGGCCATTCGATCTGCCGTTCTCTGTTTGGCTTGCCACAGGGGTGCTCGGCGTGCTGAACCTTACAGTTTTTGGTGTTGGTTCTTCTCCCACAGAACTCCCCCTGGGGCTTCGGCGCATTGCGCCATCTGGAACGGTTCCCACAGTTCGTCTCCCGTTGCCCAGATCGCCTATAAGACAGCCAAGATGGCCCAAGATGGCCTCCAAGATGCCCCCAAGACGTTTCGAAGGCTGTCAAGACGGCCCCAAGAGAGTCCAAGATGCCCCCAAGATGCACTCAAGACGGCCCTAGATGCACCCAAGACGGCTTCAATATTGTCCGAGACGGCCCAAGAGGCTTCCAAGAGGCCTCCAGGGGATCCTCCAGGCAGGCCCGAAGGAGCAACAATTATTGATTGTCCTTAGGTTCTTGAAGGAATTTCGGATTTGATTATTTTCTGCCTTCCGACGGCCCGAGACGGCCCAAGAGACCCCAAAGATCGCCCAAGACGCCTCCAAGATGGCCCCAGAAAGGCCCAAGAGGCCCTGACGACGGCCCCAAGAGGGCCCCAAGACGGCCCAAGAGGCCTCCAAGACGCCCAAAATGGCCACCAAGACGGCCCTGGATCACCCCGAGAAAGCCCCTAAGTCGGCCCAGAGAGGCCCCCAAGACGGCTTCGGACGGCGTCAGGCGGGCCAGGACTGCCCTAAGACGGCCAAAGAGCCCACCGAGAAGCCCAAAGAGGCCCCAACAGGCCCAAGGAGGACCCCAAGATGCCTCCAAGAGGCTCCCAGGAAGCTCCCAGGAGGCACCAAGAGTGCCCCCAGAGGCTCCCAAGATGCCCCCTCCTCCTCCTCTTCCTTCTCCTCCTCCTCCTCCTCGTCCTCTCTTCCTCCTCCTGATCTTCCCCGACATCCTCCCCCAAGTGGTCCCCGAAAGGTTTCCACAACGGCTGGAGGAACACATGCAGAGCTCTTGCCACAACGCTCGGCTGGGCGTCGTCGGTAACCGCCAGACCGACGACACGGCCCAGACGACGGACGGGCGGCGACAAGGCGGCGACGGGGCAGCGACGGCGAGCACATGGCCGCCAGACCGACGACACGGCACAGTTCCTTAGAGGAGAAGTAAGAACTCCTAAGTGTAAACTCTGTTCGGAAGATTTGCGTCACTTTCACATGCGCGCGGGGGCGACCGAATGTGGGGACTGGCTGGCATTGCACGATCTGCACATTTCGATGACCTATCGTGCACATCGAAAATATATATATATATATATATATATATATATATATCGCGCTCCCAGGGGAGCAGATAACCCCGGCCTCGGTGTTGCGTGTGTGCGTGCGGGGTACAGTCTGTATGTTTGAAACTGACTACCCTGCACCGCGCTTGACCACTCCACTGCTCGCGCAAAAATCCCACCCACCCACCCGCAACTTGGTTCGCAAAATATCTTAAGACCGTGACGGTGGGTACCAAATGGCACTTGCCAACGACAGCGACGCCGACGACGACAGCGACAACGACGACGACGACGCCGCCGACAACGACTACGACGACACCGGCGACGTCTCCAATGACTTCGACGACGCCGACAACGACGACAACGACGACGACGACGACACCGACGACGACGACGACGCCGACGCCGACGACGACGACGATAACAACAACGACGACGACGCCGACGACGACGACAACGACGACGCCGACGACGACGACGACGACGTCAACGACGCCGACGACGACGGCGACCACGACGACGACGACGGCGGCGACGACGACGACGCCGACAACGACGACGAAGACGACGACGACGGCGACGGCGACGCCGACGACGAAGACGACGACGACGTCGCAAACGAAGACGACGACGAGGGGGGAGGGAAGACGACGACGGCGACAACGGCGACAACGACGACAACGACGAGGGAGGAGGGAGGACGGCGACGACGCGAACGACGAAGAAGGAGGAAGGACGGCGACGCCGACGACGGCAACGACGAGGGAGGAGGGAAGACGACGACGACGACAACGACGACGACGACGACGGCGACGAAATAGGAGGGACGACGACGAGACGCCGACGACGGACGACGACGACGACGAGGGGGAGGAGGAAGGACGACCACGGCGACAACGACGACGGAAACGACCACGACGCCAAAGAGGACGACGACGACGAACACGAGGAAAGACAGAGGACGACGTAGGCGACGACGACGACGACGACGACGCGGGAGGAGGGAGGACGGCGACGACGACGACGACGACGACGCAAGAGCGCGCGCGCACGCTTTTGTTGAAAATCCGTGTTGCGAAACCTTGGGTTTTTGTAGGTTTTTTGGACGCGCGATTTCGAAATCCTTCCGAAACCGATGGGTTTTGAAGGATTTAGGCGTACGCGCGCGACCACGCGCGCGTCTGCACTTCGTCCCATTTTTTGCAGAGGATTCTCGCGACGGCACACGCGCAAGGAAGTTCGACAGATTTCGACATGCGCGCGCGCGAAGCCCGTTTGGTAGCATTTTGTGAAAATCTTGAAGAACCTATGGTTTTCTTAAGATTTCGCAAGAGCTCGCGCGGAAGCTGTTTTAGCAAATCAGTGTTGCGAAACCATGTGTTTTTGTATGTTGTTTGGAAACTCGATTGCGAAATCCTTCCGGCGCCGAAGGTTTTTGAAGGATTCCGGCATGCGCGCGCGACGACGCGCGCGTGTGCACTTCGTTTCATTTTGTACAAAGGATTCGTGAAAAAGTGTTATGTTAGAACAAAAAATGTCACCGCATAGTGTTCTTTACAAGGGACCCTCAGGGGGGGGTTGAAACCGGCCTGCCTGGGATGGTATGATTTATATTTAGGATGGACGAGTGTGCAGAAAATATGTGAAATTATACTATCCAAAGGGGAGCTGATAAGTCCGGGGGGGGAGGGGTAGAGTCCATTCTCTTTTTAGAAAGGAGAATCAATGTGCTGCACCACATATTGAGCAGGCCATGTTGCGCAGGCCATGTTGCGCAAGACACATGGTGCAATACAAATTTGCGCCATCTCTGTGGTGCCGACGTCGTGGTGCAATCTGCACCTGCGCCCGGAAAGGTCAGCCAGCGCACGAGTCGCCCACGAGGCGCCCACGGGCAAGCATGACTGAAAACCCACGAGTCCAGGAGAGCGGGGAATCGAATGGATAAGTCGGATCGGCGATCGAAATGAATCGGATCGGTGGCAATCAGCAACCGAATCGGGAAAAGTCGAATCGGCGGACACCGGCAAGCTAGTAGGCCTCCGTGGAAGCATCGGAGCCCCAACCGGAGCCCAAAGTCGCACCGAGTCGGCATCGGAAGCCACTGAAATCGAATCGAATCGAATCGGAGCGAGCCCTGCGAGGCGCCCACGGGCGGGGACCGGGCGTGGCCTCGAACAGAGCCAGGCCAGCGCGGCGGGGGGGGGCCTGCGAGGGGCGCCCACAGTGGCGGGCACCGCGCGAGGGCCTGGGAGAGCTCGGCCAGCGCACCGCACGGGGCGGTCCCGCGGGGTGGGGGCCCGGGCGAAGACCTGGAGAGCCCACTCTGGGTGGGCACACACGTCGGTCGGAAAGAGTAGGCAGAAACAGGAAGTAGGAAGGCGGATATAGCAGATTGGGTCCAGGATCTCCCAGAGAGTAACAGAACACAGCAAAAGCATGCCGATCCTTGAAGTAGGAAGGCGCTTGAAGTAGCTTGGGATCTGGGAATCCCAAAACACCCATTTTCAACGACCGGCGTGTTTTTTGTTTATCAAGGGGGGGGGGGGGGGGGGGCGATTCCCCCTTCCGATGGAGCCTGCCCAATCCCACCCCCCTCCTTCCTTCTCCCCCTCCTCGTCCCCCTCCCCTTGCTCCTCCCCCTCCTCGTCACCCTCCTCGTCCCCCTCCTCGTACCCCTCCCCTTACTCCCCCTACCCCGTCCTCCTCCCCCTCCTCGTCCCCCTCCCCTTGCTCCAACTCCCCCTCCACCCGTTCCGACAGCAGGTGCCCGACCCCCGCAGCGGATCCAGGGGGGAGCGATTACTGTCCAGGGCAGTTTTTAATACATGGGATGATATTTTAATGCATGATCAATTTATGAATAAATTTATGCATCAACTCATCGTTGTTTGTAATGCTAGATCCCTGCATTTCTAATACGTAATCCGCACGCGGAGCATGTGCCCTGTACTGTCCCACCCAGAGCAGCCAACGCGCGAGACGCGTGCTGGGCACCCACGGGAGGGATCTGGCCGAAGACCCAGTCGATTGAAGCAGGACCCAAGCAAGAACCCCCGCAGTGCAAGCACGGACCGTGGAAAAGGCTACCGGGCGGTTCCCCGACCCTCGGGGGAACCACGAGCACGAGTGGATGAGGCGGATGGGGAGCATTGGCCCGGGTGTTGCCAGAAGTGCCCCTGGCCCAAGGTGCCCCCAGCTTTTCGCTCCGTTTTGGAGCCCTGGAGGCCCTTGGGCCTCGTGAGGGGTGCTTTGGAGGCCGTTTGGGCCACCCCGAGAATCCTGGGGGTACCTCGGGCAAGGGGCACTTCTATCGGGGATGGACAGACCCCCCTTTAGTAAAACGTGGTTTAGTGAAAACGACCTGAGGCCCAAACCTGGCGGGCGCAAGCCTGGAAAATAACGGCCACAGCGCCATCTCGAGAACCGAAAACGGACAATTCACTAATCGACGTGTCACTGTTGGGGGTTCTGTCCACCCCCGATTCTAGCAGCACCCGAAGTGGTCCCGGTGAAGGATGTCTCTGGGTCCTTGCCGCCGAGAGTGACGGTGAGGCTCGGGAGGCTGGCGGACCTGTTGCAGTCGATGGTCCACTCCTTGCCTGAGGAGGAAGGTCAAGGGCTCCCAACTTCGCGCTTCGCGCTGCGCGAAGCGCGAAGTGCGAATAACTTCGCGCTCTCGCGCCGCCTCCCAGGGGAGAAGAGAAGGATAAGGAGGAGTCGGAGCCGAACCGCGAAGCGCGAAGCGAGAATAACTTCGCGCCCTCGAGGGCGCCCTTGAAGGTAGAAGGGTGCGGGGGAAGGGGAGGAGGATGGAGGGAGGACAAATTACGAACATGGAGCAAGGAAGAGGGTGCCTGCGATAAGAGTCGCGCCCGCTTTCTTGGCAAGGGTGTCTACAACGTCCTTCGGGCCCGCGAGGAGGGACGTGCCGCTGTCGATTATCGCCTTCTGCGACGAGGCAACGCTCTCGCTGCCAAACGTCATTTTGTCAAGGCTAACCTCCCAATATGTCTCGCTGATCAATGGCACGTTGACGAGATCGCCCGTGAAGTGCGCATTGTCGATGCCACCGAACACGAGCTCGCCCTGAGCGGACGCATCGGACTGCAAATAGAATGCGAAGACCGGCTCGTCGACGAGCTTCTGAGCAATCATAGTTTCGAATGGTGTTGGGATGTTGTACTGTGAGATGCTTTTGAAACCGAGGCCGAGGAGTCCGTCGAACTTGCCAGCAGCGAAGGCTAAGTTCAGCGGTCCGAAGCTGACCGAGCTCACTTCAGCGAACAGCTGATCAGGCACCTTGACATCCCCGACCGTCACCGTGTCAGAGGCAAAGACGCCCTCAACTGGGCCCGAGCCATACTGCACACTGTACGTGCGGCCATCTGGCTTATCCGACACCGTGCAACTCGGCACGCTGGGGCGCATTCGAGTGTCTGCTAGTTACCTCACAAGGTTTCTGCAATTTTTTCGCAGTCGATCCCCGCCCCCTCGGGACACGCGACCCTCGCAAATCCCACCTCCAGGTCACGCTTCCAGGCTTCCAGGATCTCTGTCTAGGCTGAGCACGGTTGTGTCCGAAACGTCCCGAGTGCTCTACGATGTCTGCAAGACAGATGCACTCAGAACCCTCGGGGAGACTCTCGGAGAGGCCTAGCGTAGCAGCAGGCGGCCGAACGCCTCCCGTGCGCAGAGGCAGCGTTTGCCCCCTTGCTTCCGAGACTCCCCTGGCGTCGAGGTCGGCTCGGGAGCACCCCAGACGCCCGAGGAGGCCTGGAGGGCCCCGACGCGGCCCGCGGGCGAGAGCCCCGGGCGGCCGCAGCCGCGGCGTGCCGAGGTGCTGAGCGGCCGCGCGTGGGCGGAAGACTGCACGCCTGCTCCTCCCCGCTGCGTGCGGGAGGAGGAGGAGGAGGGGGAGGAGGAGGAGGAGGAGGAGGAGGAGGAGGAGGAGGAGGAGGAGGAGGCGGAGGAGGAGGAGGAGGCCAGAAGACGGCCCTGGGGCCCGCCCTGGCGGTGACCGAGATGGCTGGCCAGGCCTCCTGGGGAGAGCTCGCCGGAGAGCCTTTCGCCTCGACGGGCATCCAGCGGCCCCCCCACGGGCGGGCCCTGACGAGGCCTCGAAGACGCTCTCTCAATAGGGCGACAAAGGGCGTCATGATGCGATCGGCTGAGAAGATGTTTCAGGAAGTCTGGCTTGTCGAGCGGCAAGCGTTTCTGCAGCTTGTGTGGAACCTTGCTGGGAGATCTGGAAAATCCCCCGACCCTGTCGGCGTGTGTGAGGGGCTTGTCTGTTTGAGTCGTCGCCTCCGTCGGTCGACGTCTCCGTCGCCACCCTTCCCTGTACCCTCCTCCTCAAGCTTGTCAGTCGAAGGGAAACCCCTTCCCTTTGATCCCTCCCCCGTCAGGGGGGGGGGCCCAGGGTGTCCAGTGGGGGGGGGTTCAGATACGCGTCCCCCCTGGGGGGCCCGGGGCCACAGAAAGTACCAAGACAGGCCAAGAATGCCCCAAGAGGCCGCCGAGACGGTTCAACAGGGTACCCAATCGCCAAACGATGGGTCCAGAACGCCTTCACTCTCTCCAGACTTCCCAGGGAGCCTCCAGGACTCCCCAAGTCGCCTCCAAGAGCACTCCCGAAAGGGCACCCAAAGGCCGAATTCATTCATTTTCCCACATCCTAAATGGGATTCTTGTTTTCTCTGCGTAACCCCGCGCAGGAACAGTCCTCCTCACCCGCTCCCGTCTCCTGTCTTTCTACAGACATCATCACCAGCAACACTCACCCACTCACTCCCCAACTCATCATCATCAGCACCAGCACCATCGTGACTCACACTCACGCATTCACTTGTCATTCGACAGTCATCATCACCAGTATCACCCACCCACTCATCATCATCATCAGCATCATCAGCAGCACCATCATCAACATAACCATCATCACCATAACATTCCATCGCACCCTCCTGCGACAACCATCATCATCAACAACAGTCACCCACTCACTCCCTCACTCACTCATTATCATCACCATCATCACATTCACTCATTATCACGCATGCACTTGTCATTCTACAATCATCATCACCAGCATCGCTCACCCACTCAACCCCTCCCGCATCATCATCACCACCATCATCGCATTCACCCACACTCACTCACCCATTGACTCACACACTCCCCAACGCAGACAGTTGTCCAAAGTGTTGTTTTTCCCAACCATCCTGTGGTGTTGGGTCCTCGTTTTGAAGAGACGGTGGTCCGCGTCTCCTCCTCCTCTCCTCTCCTCTCCTCTCCTCTCCTCTCCTCTCCTCTCCTCTCCTCTCCTCTCCTCTCCTCTCCTCTCCTCCAGTTCGGCACACCCCTCGCACGTTTCGTGGCCCCATAGGGAGCTCCACCGAAGGCCCCAGTGCTGCCGTCCGCATGCGTCCCGCACACCCATTTCGGCACACCCCTCACACGTTTCGTGGCCCCATAGGGAGCTCCACCGAAGGCCCCATGGCTGCCGTCCGCATGCGTCCCGCACACCCATTTCGGCACACCCCTCACACGTTTCGTGGCCCCACAGGGAGCTCCACCGAAGGCCCCAGTGCTGCCGTCCGCATGCGTCCCGCACACCCATTTCGGCACACCCCTCACACGTTTCGTGGCCCCACAGGGAGCTCCACCGAAGGCCCCAGTGCTGCCGTCCGCATGCGTCCCGCACACCCATTTCGGCACACCCCTCACACGTTTCGTGGCCCCATAGGGAGCTCCACCGAAGGCCCCATGGCTGCCGTCCGCATGCGTCCCGCACACCCATTTCGGCACACCCCTCACACGTTTCGTGGCCCCATAGGGAGCTCCACCGAAGGCCCCAGTGCTGCCGTCCGCATGCGTCCCGCACACCCATTTCGGCACACCCCTCACACGTTTCGTGGCCCCACAGGGAGCTCCACCGAAGGCCCCAGTGCTGCCGTCCGCATGCGTCCCGCACACCCATTTCGGCACACCCCTCACACGTTTCGTGGCCCCATAGGGAGCTCCACCGAAGGCCCCATGGCTGCCGTCCGCATGCGTCCCGCACACCCATTTCGGCACACCCCTCACACGTTTCGTGGCCCCACAGGGAGCTCCACCGAAGGCCCCAGTGCTGCCGTCCGCATGCGTCCCGCACACCCATTTCGGCACACCCCTCACACGTTTCGTGGCCCCATAGGGAGCTCCACCGAAGGCCCCATGGCTGCCGTCCGCATGCGTCCCGCACACCCATTTCGGCACACCCCTCACACGTTTCGTGGCCCCACAGGGAGCTCCACCGAAGGCCCCAGTGCTGCCGTCCGCATGCGTCCCGCACACCCATTTCGGCACACCCCTCACACGTTTCGTGGCCCCATAGGGAGCTCCACCGAAGGCCCCATGCTGCCGTCCGCATGCGTCCCGCACACCCATTTCGGCACACCCCTCACACGTTTCGTGGCCCCATAGGGAGCTCCACCGAAGGCCCCAGTGGCCGTCCGCATGCGTCCCGCACACCCATTTCGGCACACCCCTCACACGTTTCGTGGCCCCACTCCACCGAAGGCCCCATGGCCGTCCGCATGCGTCCCGCACACCCATTTCGGCACACCCCTCACACGTTTCGTGGCCCCAAGGGAGCTCCACCGAAGGCCCCATGGCTGCCGTCCGCATGCGTCCCGCACACCCATTTCGGCACACCCCTCACACGTTTCGTGGCCCCATCCACCGAAGGCCCCTGCCGTCCCCCACACCCCTCACACGTTTCGTGCCCCATAGGGAGCTCCACCGTCTGCCGTCCGCATGCGTCCCGCACACCCATTTCGGCACACCCCTCACACGTTTCGTGGCCCCACAGGGAGCTCCACCGAAGGCCCCAGTGCTGCCGTCCGCATGCGTCCCGCACACCAGGTGTGTGGCGTGCCGACATGGGCGTCGCGGCGCGCGGGCGCTGCCGTCGGGGTTCCCAGGGAAGCCCCCTGCAGAGGCGACGCTCAGAGTCACGAGTACCGAGAGTCACGCAGACCCAAACTGTTCACAGTCGTATACATACATTTACACTGGGCGTATCCATGCACGCATTCATGCGAATAGAATCAATCGCGCGCAGATTCATTCATAATCAGACTCGCTCGCGATCCGACTCGCACGCGCTCAAGCTTTCATATTCGGACCTATCGTCTTCGTTCGTGTTGTGTACACTGCCACGCATTTCGGCACACCCCTCATACGGCTCGTGGCCCCATAGGGAGCGCCACCGAAGAAGATATTCACAATTGCGGTACTCTCAACTGCATATGGTTGGGTCCTTCGCCAGGCTGATTTTATTGGGGCTCGCAGATAATATTATTGATTTGAGCGGGTCATCGGCACACTAATTTGCAGGCGGGAACACCCTCCCTATGGGGCCCGCAGCTCATGTTACTAATCTAAAAGGGCCAGCGGGATCCTGTAAGTGTCCTGCCTCACTTTTGAGCTCCTGCGGCCTGAATATGCCGGAGGAAGCCTCAGGCGGGAACCTCGTCTGTGAGTGAATTGCGAGGACGTCTCAGGTGGGAGCCACTTCCCTGTGGGGCCCGCAGCTCACGCTACTAATCCGAGCGGGCCATCGTGATCCTGTAACTGTCCTCCTGTTGGGCCCCTGCGGCCTGACTGTGGGCCCGCAACTCACGTTCCGAACCCGAGCGGGCCCTCGGCATCCTGTCAGTGTCCTCGCGTTTGAGCTCCTGCGGCCTTCATGTGGTGCGCTCTCCGCGGGCGCCTCGCCTGCGTGAATCACGAGGAGGTCTCGGGTGGGAGCCCCCTCCCTGTGGGGCCCGCAGCTCACGTGACTTATCCGAGCGGGCCATCGGGATCTTGTATATGTTTGGGCGCCCGAGTTATCCGGGGTAACTCGGGTCCGGGGTAACTCGGGTTTGGATTCCCGAAAAAGGAACCCGAGTTTGCCCTGACCCGAATTACCCCTGATGATTCGGGGCTCTGGGCGCCCGAGTTATCCGGGGTTACTCGGGTCCGGGGTAACTCGGGTTCGGATTCCCGAAAAAGGAACCCGAGTTAGCCCTGACCCGAGTTCCCCCTGATGATTCGGGGCTCTGGGCGCCCGAGTTATCCGGGGTTACTCGGGTCCGGGGTAACTCGGGTTCGGATTCCCGAAAAAGGAACCCGAGTTAGCCCTGACCCGAGTTCCCCCTGATGATTCGGGGCTCTGGGCGCCCGAGTTATCCGGGGTAACTCGGGTCCGGGGTAACTCGGGTTCGGATTCCCGAAAAACGAACCCGAGTTAACCCTGACCCGAGTTACCCCTGATGATTCGGGGCTCTGATATGTCGTCACATTTGGCCTCATCAAGCTTGAATATGGGAGAAGTCTCAGGGGGGCGCATCGTGTGTGAGTGACAGACGAGCAAGTCTCAGGCCGAAGCCCCCCCTCCCTATGGACCCCGCCGCTCATGTTGCATATCCGAGTGGGCCATCGGAACCATGTAGCAGACGTCGCGCTAGGCCTCATCAAGCTTGAGAATGTTGTTGGAGAAAGCTTCGATCAGGAACTCTCGAACGGGGGCCCCGTGCGAATAACATTAGGTGTAGGATGGTGGCGCCCGGCGAGATTAGTTGGACATCGTTCCTTCCTCCTCCTTCCCGAGACCTCCGACGTAGTTGTGTTGGTTGTCGCCGTGGCTGGTTGGAGAAGGAAGATGAAAAAAAGGCTCTCGCTCTAGCCGCGGGGGAGGGAACCTGAACGAACCTGCAAAGGCTCCCTAACCTGAAAACGCATGGCCCGCGGGATTGTCCCGAAGGCTTCGTGATCTAACAGCCGGCGAACGCGCGCGTGCGGGCCGAGGCGGCGACGGCGCCGAGGGAAATCGGCGTGCTTGCACCGACCAGGGGGACAAGGGAGGTGTGCATGGAGAAAAGACAGGAGGAGGAGGAGGAGGAGGGGGGAACGAGTAGAGGGAGGGTGACGAGGAGGTGGACGAGGAGAAGGAGGAGAAGAAGGAGGAAGATACATAGAAGGAAAAAGAGGACAAAGCAAAGGGCGACAGGGTGTCCGCCAGGGCGAGAAGGAAGGGGCTAAGGACAAGCTAAAAAGGTTCTCATGCGGGGTCCTACAGTCGGAGTAATCCGTTGGTCGTTTCATAAAGAGTTGGACGTTCTCGCCTTTTCCACTTCCCGCCGCTCTAAAACGGCGTACGGGGCCCCCAAGATCGCACCAAGAGGCCTCCAAGATGGCTCAGAAACAGCTCAAGAGGACACCAAGACAGCCCAAAACGCCTCCAAGACGGCTCCAAGAGCGTGCCCAGACGGGGGGCCCAAACTGTCATTTCGAGCCCTCGGCGCCAAGAGGCTCCCAGGAGGCCCAAGAGGTTCCCAAGAGGCCCCGAGAGGCCCACAAGAGGTCCCCAGGAAGCCCGAAGAGGCCCCCAAGCGGCTCCCAAGAGGACCCCAAGAGGCTCCCAAGAGGCCCAAACATTCTTCCCAGAGGCTCCCGAGAGACTTCCGAAAAGACCCCAAGAACCATCCCTGAGGACTCTGGCCCACGTCAGCGTCATCGTCGTCGTTGCAGCCGCCGCCGCCGTTGTCGTCGTCGTCGTCTCCCTTCAGGGTCGGCGGCACAGGGCGTAAGGCCGTCGCAATCCAGAAAATCTTCGAACGCATCCTTGAAATGCTCTCTTCCTTTCTTGATTCAATAGGGGGAGAGAAGGAGGACGGAAGCTGAGGAAAACGAGACCGCGGACAAGGATGGGTCGTTTCAGCCTCGCGCTATTTCTGACGGAGGACCGAACTGGAGCGGGTCTAGAATTCAACTGACTCATTGCTAGCGGCAGGGCTTGCAAACAGGTGCGCGAGCAGGGAGTGCCGCAGGCAGCTGGATACGTCGATGACTTGGTGGCGTCGTAGCGAGGGTGGAACCAACACGTGTGCCAGCTGCAATTCTTACCCGGCACCCACACGTTGGCGGAGCCCGTGTCGAAGATCACTTGGAACGTCTGCCCGCCAACCTGGATCGGTCCGAAGTACTGTGCGTTCTGGAAATCACTGATCGGCACGTCGTGCCCGTCTGAACCGAGCAACTGCTGCTCGGCCAGCTGCGGGACCTGAGCAGACATTCCCTTCGCGATATCCCGCAAGCTGACCGTCTTCTCCACCGGCACGCGTACGATGCCGCCCTGGGCCACGGCAAGGAGAGCAGCCGAAACAAGCTTTGCCATCGTCCTGAACCTCGAACACGAGAAAGAAGTTCTAGCGTACCGACAGTGTCGAGTAACGAGGACTTGAGGACTTGAGCAGAGACTGACCGTCCCAGCATTCCTGTAGGCCTTCCATAAACTTTAGCATTTCAACAAACAATCACGTTCTGGGAAAATGCGACCGATGGATTTAAGCAAGAACGGTCACAATCAGAAATGTTACAAGAAGGTTTCGTGCAAACCACAAACAATATTAGAACGCCTTGTGATGGGCCTGTGCGCAGGTCAAGACGCCTCGCCATTGCTTGAGAGGACAAGCGTCGCCAGTCCTGGCCAGAGGCCCTCCCCAAGACGGCCCGAGCCCCACCGTGCGGCAAGCTTCACAGTCGGTGAGACGTGAGCCGTCGCAGTCGGGACAGGCATCCAAAGCGTCCCGAGTGCTCGCGACCAGAAAAGGACACGACACATCTGGATATTATCTACATGCACGCTCTGCGCCGAGACCAGCTCGCCCCTTGAGCGAGCATTTGGCATTCGACAGTTAAAAAATCCAAGAGGGGGACCCAAACTGCTGATGCAAAGAGGACCTGCGCACAATTGGTGCTCTGGTCAGTACTCGGGGATGGACAGAAACCCCTTTAGCAAAACGTGGTTTAGTGAAAACGACCTCGGGCCAAAATCTGGCGGGCGAAAACCTGGAAAAAGAACGGCTACGGCGCCTTCTCGAGAACCGAGAACGGACAATTCACTAATCGACGTGTCAGGGTGGGGGTTCTGTCCACCCCCGAAGTACATGGATCGCTGTCATCCCACTCGGATGTACGACGAATTGTCGCCCCGAGTGCCGGCTTTGAACCCCCCGAGCCTCGTGGTGGCCACCACGAGGGCGGGCCAGGCAGCTCACAACCCCCCCAAACACCGCTCCGAGCTGCCACCCCAAAAGGCTCACAAAACGATGCAACAACCAGACGAGACATTTAACCAATCTGTGTTTCCCAAGACTTCTGGGCCAAGACGGCATCGGCAAAACTGCATACTGCGCGAAGAAGCTTCCGAGATGGCCCCAGCTGGCTCTAAGAGGGCCCGAAGACGGCGAACCCCAAGACGCCCCGGAGAAGCCCGCACGAGCCAACGCAACGAAGACAGACCGCACCACGTCGCACCGATGCTTCCGAAACGGCCCAGTGTTTTTCTTCTGGAGCGTGTCAGGAGAATTCGGTGGAGCCATCCTGCAGCATCCCACTACAGTCAATATACTACCATAAGGAGCACTACAGAAGAAACGAACACTCTGTTTGGCCCCGACAGCGCCTGGGTGCACGAGGAGCGCTGGAGGAACAACCATGGAAGGACAGAAGGACCAGCGAGCCCCTTCCGGTCGCGAAGTGTCCGTACTGCAGCATCTTGCCTGCGTGGTGGGAGCGGTGGCGGAAGTGCCGCAAACAGCAAGATAATCGGACCAAGCATTGGCATCACTCGGGCAGGCACAATTTCATATGGATCAATGTGGCTCAGCGCAATGGACAACTCCGCTGAACTCCCCAGAGACCTACGAAATTACAACAATGCTATGTTCGGCAACATCCGGATACGCGGGGCCTCACTTGCACACGCGCGGGACGCAACCCCGCTTATCCTATGGGCTTCAAGACGCGGCGACAATCGTACGACGGGCACCACCCAGGGAGGCGAGGTCTCCCTTGGACCCGCCATGGTCACCACTGCGATCGCCATCAGTACAGTCGTCGCCGTCCCCATGGTCAAGGTCGCCATGATGATAAGTACAAGCGCAAGCTTTCAAATTACAGCCCCCTGGAATAAAAAGTCCGGACCGCCGATGCAAGGGGGCCTGCAGTGCCGATCCGGACTTTTTAATCCACGGGGTGGTTGCAACTAAATGGTGAGTGCGCTTTGTTCGGCGTGGGCGCCCGCTTTTTAGGTAGACGCTTAGCAAAGGCGCGAGCGGTGGCGCTCTCGCGGTGGTCAACCCCCTGGAATAAAAAGTCCGGACCGCAGAGGTCGGGGAATCAGCCTTGATGTTCGGCTCCCGTTAGGCCCCGGGGCCCCGGTACAATGTTGCAGGGGCCGCCATGATTAAATTTCGGGTCCGTCCTCACCCCCTCTAATATTATAATCGCTAAATGGGGTGACGACCGGAAATCCGCATTCCGCCTATTACTTCCTCCCAAAAATTCCGGAGGTTTTTCAGGCGACCGGAAATTCTCAGTGGCGACCGGAAATTGGCGATTTCGCTTGGGATTTCCTCGCAAATTAATTTCCGGTCCCAATTATGTTGCGTGAGAGTTGCGATTCTGCCTGGTACTTCTTGCCACTCATGTTTACCTCTCGGGGAGCGACGATGCAAAGGGGCCTGCACTGCCGATCCGGACTTTTTAATCCAGGGGGTGGTTGCAACTAAATGGTGAGTGCGCTTTGTTCGGCGTGGGCGCCCGCTTTTTAAGTAGACGCTTAGCAAAGGCGCGAGCGGTGGCGCTCTCGCGGTGGTCAACCCCCTGGAATAAAAAGTCCGGACCGCCGATGCAAGGGGGCCTGCAGTGCCGATCCGGACTTTTTAATCCACGGGGTGGTTGCAACTAAATGGTGAGTGCGCTTTGTTCGGCGTGGGCGCCCGCTTTTTAGGTAGACGCTTAGTAAAGGCGCGAGCGGTGGCGCTCTCGCGGTGGTCAACCCCCTGGAATAAAAACTCCGGACCGCCGATGCAAGGGGGCCCGCAGTGCCGATCCGGACTAAGAAATCCAGGGGGCGTTTGCAACTAAATGGTGAGTGCGCTTTTTGTTCGGCGTGGGCGCCCGCTTTTTAGGTAGACGCTTAGCAAAGGCGCGAGCGGTGGCGCTCTCGCGGTGGTCAACCCCCTGGAATAAAAAGTCCGGACCGCAGAAGTCGGGGAATAAGCCTTGATGTTCGGCGCCCGTTAGGCCCCGGGGCCCCGGTACAATGTTGCAGGGGCCGCCATGGTTAAATTTCCGGTCCGCCCTCACCCCCTCTAATCAGAGTGAGGGGGCCCGAACGGTCATTCACTGTCCCTGGGTGCGTGGCTGAAGTGAGGATCCGTGGCGCGGATTCTGCTTCGTCTTGTTGTTGTTGTCGTCGTTCTACCCCAGAGCGACTCCGCGACCCACCCTCGACCCACCCCGCGACCCACCCGCGACCCACCCCGCGACCCACCCGCGACCCACCCCGCGACCCACCCCGCGACCGACCCCGCGACCCACCCCGCGACCCACCCCCCGACCCACCCCGCGACCCACCCCGCGACCCACCCCGCGACCCACCCGCGACCCACCCGCGACCCACCCGCGACCTACCCCGCGACCTACCCCGCGTCCCACCCGCGACCCAAACCACGTTCAAGGTACAAACCACAATTTTCGGCGCCTGCGGCGGGTTTTTTTTGCATTCCTTCCAGGTTGAGAGCCCGCGACCCACCCCGTGACCAACCCGCGACCAACCCGCGACCCAAACCACGTTCAGGGTACAAACCACATTTTTCGGCGCCTGCGGTGGGCATCTTTTGCATTCGTTTCAGGTGGAAAGCCTGCGGCCCACCCGCGACCACGTTCAGGGTACAAACCACATTTTTCGGCGCCTGCGGCGGGCATTTTTTGCATTCGCTCCCGGTGGAGAACCCGCGGCCCACCCGCGACCCAAACCACGTTCAGTGTACAAACAATTGTTTTGGGCGCCTGCGGCGGGCTGCTTTTGCATTCCTTCCAGGTGGAGGTGGAGAGCCCGCGACCCACCCGCGACCTAAACCACGTTCACTGAACAAACCAATGCCGCACAAACGCGGCGGCGGATTTTTGCATGCCGCCTGAGCCCGCAAGGACCTCTTCAAGCCCCGCGCATCCACACCAGCCCGTCCAGCAACTCTGCCCTGGCGAGTTGCCTTCATCAAAGAAGGCGGGGATCATAAAGTGGAAAAAAAAGATTGTTTTGCAGTGATCTTGGGAAAGGGAGGGGGAGGCAGGAGGAGTAAACAGGGGACGAGGAGAACGCGGCAGAAGAGAGGATGTAAGGATAATGTGGAAAAAGAAAAGGAGGAGGAGCAGGAGGACGAGGAGGGGGAGGAGGAAGACGAGGAGGGGGAGGAGGGGGAATATGATGATGATGATGATGATGATGATGATGATGATGATGATGATGATGATGGTGATGATGATGATGCTGATGGACGTCAATGGGAGGACGATGATGGAGGCCGATGAAGGGGAGGACGACAATGGGAGGACGATGATGAAAGGACGAGGGGGGGAGAGGGAGGACGAGGGAGAAGAGGAGGAGGACGAGGTGGAGGAGGAGGATGACGATGACGATGAGGACGAGGACGAGGATGAGGATGAGGAGGAGGAGGAGGACAGCGCCATCGACAGGGAAGGTGGGGGCCACGAGGTCCGCCGGCTCGACGACGCCCGCGTCGCCCGCGCCCGCCCCCTCACTCTTATCCGCAATTGCGGGGTGCTACGTATTACAATCGCCCAGTGGGGTGACGACCGGAAATCCGCATTCCGCCTAATACTTCCTCCCGAAAATTCCGGACGCTTTTCAGGCGACCGGAAATTCTCAGTGGCGACCGGAAATTGGCGATTTCGCTTGGGATTTCCTCGCAAATCAATTTCCGGTCCCAATTATGTTGCTTGAGAGTTGCGATTCTGCCTGGTACTTCTTGCCAGTCATGTTTACCTCTCGGGGAGCGACGATGCAAGGGGGCCTGCAGTGCCGATCCGGACTTTTTAATCCAGGGGGTGGTACTGTCGTAGTCGCCACCATCGCAGTCAGCGGTCGGAGCCTGCGGATCTTGCCCCACATCACGCGGCACCTCGAATTCTTCACCTCCCCCAGGGTCAAAAGCCGTAGCAGCCTGGCCCCGTTCCGAAGATGATCGAGCGAGCGACGCTGAAAGGGACGAGGCAACCTCTCGGGCCCGATCCTCATCCACACCCTCCCGTTCCTCGTCACGACGGATCACAACACTGCTAGCCTGGAACCGATACTGGGAACAAAAACCGCTCGTGGCTTGGACCTGCATACACTTCACCAGGCTGCGACCGGCCTGGAGAACACAAGTCGCGCCAGGAGGGGAGAAT